CGCGCCCCGCCCCCCCCGCCGCACCCAGCCCAGCCCCAGCAGGAGCAGGCAGGCTCGGCAGTCACTGGCAGCACTGGACAACTGAAGGCAGCTTCCCCAGCTCTCCCCAGGCTCTCGCAGGAGGATGGTCCTGGGTCTTGGGGGCAGCTCACCCCGGAGATCCTCCCCACTCCCTGCCCTGGACCCAGAGGTGCCCGGGCTCCTGCGAGGGGCCATGTGTGGGGCAGACACTGGGCGATGCCCTCCTGGCATCCTCCAGCCTTACTTTGGCTCCATGAGGACATCGATGACGCACTTCCTCTGAGGTCCCACTGTGGTCCAGTTCTTGGCCAGGCTCACCATGGCCCCGGCATCCAGCAGGCCATAGCCATAGGAGTGGCTGACTGTGGACAGAGAGGGTGTCAGTGCCGCTCCCCAGCCGCGCCGCACAGCTCGCCGGGCCCTCCTACCTCCCTTGCCCCCCAGGGCTGCTGCTGTGCTCTGCCCCATCATCCCTGGGCTAGTGGTGCTTGCAGGAATGGGAGACCCCAGTCCATCCCTGGCACCCCGGTACCTTTGCGGCCGACACCATTGGTGACCCAGTCATTGGCATTGAGGTGAGCCGGCTTCGACGTCTGCACCACCAGGTGCTGCATGTCCCGCCAGGTCAGGTTCTTGCTGTGGGTAGACACGGGGCTCAGGCACCGGTGCCCGGCTCCTCCTGGCCCCAGGCGGGTCCGTGCCCAGGCGCCGCTGCCTCGCGGGGCTTGCACGGCCACCCCAGCCCAGCCCCCATCTGTGCCTGCCCTTACTTGGCTTCCAGGGCCAGGGCGATGATGCCAGCAGCCAGGGGTGCTGAGGCCGATGTCCCCGTGTGCGATTCGGTGCATTTCTGTCTGAGGTCAGTCGTCACCTGCAAGGAGGAGCGCTGGGGTAGGGGGTGCTGCGGGCACCAGACAAGTCCAGGAGCCAGCTCGGGAACTTGTGTCCCCATGAGCGCGGTGGGAAGCGAGGCAGAGCTGCCGCTGGAGGGAAGCGCGTGAGCTGCCCCTGGAGAAGCCCTGAACTCAGGAGACGGAGCCCTGGGAG